TATGATATTCGTAGGTCAGTTTATTCTCAAAAACATCAAACGTCAATTTTGTAGGACTGTCTGATTGTTTGAACATTACCTACACTTTTTAGTCGGTCAGATATCTGAACATCAGATTGCCTTAAACCTTCAAAAAATGAAGTCTAAATATGGTCCGATGTTGAAAATAAGGGACCATCTTTTTAGTAATAGGTATGTGTCTCGTTGATGTGCATGCATTAGTAGTAGTAACATGGTTTCTTTAACATGAACCAATTAAGATTTTATATGTATTAGTACTTGGTAACGTGGCTCCCTTAGACCTCATTTTTTTAAGTTTAATGTGATCCATTGTTTCAAATATCAGACCAACTAAAAAGTATAAGATGGTTGCGGTTTGATGGTTGCGACATCAAACCAACCTATAAATATCAAAAAATGAAATAATTGATTTGATATGCGGTCTAATATTTAAAAGATCGGGCATCAGACTTGGGGAAAACTTAAAAAAAATAAAATAAAACTGGGGGAGCGAGGACCTTCACGTAAATACTGCATATTTAGGGACTAGACTGTAATAATGGTAAAGAATAAATTTCCTAAAAAAAAAAAGAGAAAAGAAAAGAATAAAAAAGGGCCGATCTTGCACCATTTTTCTGGACTTCACATTTTTATTTTCCTTAATTTGTTAGATTGCAACATTTTTGGAGCTCCATGTTGAATATTGGCTGTGGAAACAGATTCAATATTGGCAGTGAATAGATTGGGGGGAGATAGAGGGAGGTTTATCTAAAGGCTTGGTCATTAGGATGCAAGGATTGTTGCATTATGGAGTGTAGATCAAATGATATATCTCTCTCTCTTATTATTCTATCAAAAATTCCATAGTGCAACAATATTTGCATCCTAACCACCAAGTCATGAGAGTCTCTCTCTATAGACACACGTAGATACATACACACACAAGTATACCAAAAGTATCCGCATAAACTAACAATAATCATGCCCCATATTAATGGTTTTTGGGCAAAAGCCAAATTATTTCTACGACTTTGCAAAAGCCATATGGAGCTTCTAATGTTTTAAGTGCATGGCCCTTGCTTTAAGCATAGACTTTGTTTTCAAAAAACTTTTTGAAAACATAGAACGTTGTGAAGGAAACCAGGAAAGAAATTTTCAATGAACTTTTTTAAATGAAATCATGCAAAATTCCTCAAAGTAAGCTCAAAACATTAGAAAGACAAAATGTTTGGTGCTTTAGAGGACTTTATGCTTGTTCTCACAGAACCATGATTTAATAGTTCTCTATCTAAATTTCTAAGTCCCACACAGTGAAACATGCTTCATCCATTATAGAAATGAAAGTAGATTCATCCCTTCTAAATACCCATATGATAATACAGAAACATCTCTATCTATCCATGCAAATGAGATGAGCGATGAAAACAAAGTTCAGAGCGAGAGAGAGAGAGATGAGCCATGAAAATATAAGACTCTGGTAAACATGATGCACACATGGGTAGGTGGGGCAACAGCTTCATTGCCGGAAAATTTCCCCAGCAGGCATTTCGATGAGTCCATGCTGCCACTATTTGTAATCGATGAGAGGGAAATAGCAGTATTAGGTGACAAATTGTTGGCCGGCATCTCACTATTCCGGCTAAGGCTCATCGGGTTCATGCAGTAATCACGGATCTCAATTGGCCACAATATGGGATGATCTTGCCGGAAAGTGTGGAGAGTTGCCGGATTCTGGCGAGTCTCAGACATGGTCATCAAGTGAAGGCCTCCACCAACACTACCACCACCACCACCACCACTACTTTTATACCCAACACTATATTTATAGGTGGATTCATGTTTGTTCTAAGTCTGCGGGTACGTTGATTAAAAGTGTTGGAAAATGGCTTAGAAACCCCAAACTTTAAAAAAATGACCAAAAGGTCAAAAGTTGAGGTAAGATACCCTGTACCCTCTTTCTTTTTTCACATTGATCATGAAGTTTCAAACACCGATAAAGGTGGGTTATGAGGTAAGCAGTTAACATCAAATTTTGCCACATTTTATTATGAATCTTGAACCTACAATCCTATTTGATAGAGAAGAATAGAAGAACACAATTCGTATAGCTGATTGCAAATAATTGGGAAAAGGCTTGAATGATGATGATGATTTATAATGCATGGATAATAGTTTGGGCGGTCAGGGTGACAACGTGCCACAACATGATGTGTAGAGTTTCATTCTTACCAAGGATCATAGTGTGCCACAACATGATGTGTAGAGTTTCATTCTTACAAAGGATTGCAAGTTAACATTAAAAAAAGGGTCTGGTTTGTATAAGATTGCAACTTTATTTATACAAATAAGATTACGATGCTCTATACCGTGTTCATTATAGTTGGATGATGTAGATTTAATAAGTTTTTTAAAGCACTGTCAAAATGTGGTACATCTTTTTTAAGATATTAAAAGTCACCACTATCTAAATAAAATAAATAATATAGATTACTGGAATCTTACTTGTATTATTACTTCTACAAGTAACATTGCAACCTCATGTGAACTTTTTTCTTTTAAAAGACTGTGTGGATGATATTTAGGAACGTAGGTCTACTATTGGCACAAATTCATTGAATGATGGAATCTTAGGGCCAAAGATGTCACTTTAATTGAAAATTTTCGAACTTAAAACAAATTTCTACCATAAATATGGGATTTCAGTAGCCTAAGAATTGTATTAGCTGTGTTGGTTAGGATTCGAAGGTGAGCACTAATGTTGCGGACCTTGGATCAAATACCTAGGCCAAGAAACCAAATCCAATGGTAATCTTAGCCTTTATTTTTACGAAAATGTTTTGATAAGGCTGAAGCTCTATTAAAATAAGTAAAGCTTCACCCCAAAATTTATCGAAAATTGTAGTTTCGGCATCGATGCACTTCAAATCAATCATCTCGGCCGTGACCATTATGGTTGTGGAAAAAATTAAGATTTTAAGCCTTAAAAATAGTGGAAAAAAATTAAGATTTCGAGCCTTAAAAATTGTAACACATTATATAGACGGTCCATTTCCCCCTAAAAATAACTGTTCAAGGACTTACATGTTGAAAATTGATTTTAGAATCCTCATGAAGATTTCAAATGCCCAAAGTATTTTCCAGATTAAGTGACGTTTTACTTTTGTTTTCATAAAGCCTAAGCCTTATAGGAACTACATCATTCTTTTTAATTGGTAGGTTGGAATTCAAACCTTAGATATCGGTGATGGACGCAATGTTTAAAAAATCATTGAGTTGGCTTGAGTTAAGGTCGAGCAATTCTGGAGGTAATACCTCGGGACTCACCTTGATTCATAAAGACTTGGCCGTATAGAAATCGCATCATTCTTTTTAATAGGTAGGTTGGAATTCAAACCTTAGACACTCGGTGATGGATGCAGTGTTTAAAAACTCATCGAGTTGGCTTGGGTTAGTGATGAGGGGTTCTGGAGGTAATACCTCAGGGCTTGCCTTGATTCGGCCCCTAAACCCGGATTTTTTGTTTAGAAGGTATGAACTTGACTCAAAACTCGTCCGAGTCAAGCCAAGTGATTCAGGTTCAAGACCCAATGAGTCCAACTCCAAGCCCAAGCCCATGTCTAGAACACTAATGTAACCGTTACAAGTCCAATGTTGCTATCTTGTTTTGATGGACCCCGCTCTTTATGCATGCGCTTGTGATGTTTTCCTGAAGATGGTAAATCATTTTTACTGATATCACGCCCACATCTTATCACCACGTTGTGGTTTTCATTCCCACTGACACTACCTCACCAACACCTTAAAACAACTAATTTCTAAACTATTTGGAAAAACAGATCTTCCCCCAATGAATTTAAAGGGTAAATCATAAAGGTGAGAGTTTCTTTGGCATTTTGGTGAACATTTGGTGAATTTTTCGATAACTTATTTTCTTGAACAAAGCAACTCGTATTCTATATATGGATAATGGATTCAACATTATGTAATTTTATAGGGTGGATGAATCTTTCCATTTTTGTTTGAAATTATTAATAGGAGATAACCTCTGGAGAAGTAAAGGGCCCTAATGTGAGGTACTTTTTGCTGAAAAGGAGAAAGTTGAGGTGCTCTGTCTTCCCCCCAATCAATCAAATAAAAATCTAGAAAAGAGAAAAGGACATGAGGTTCTCCATCTCTTTCTCCCTCCCCCCCCCCCCTCCCTCTCTCTCCTTATTCTAGGCAAAATGCTTGAAGGCTTTATTCTCTCTCTTGGACTCCCATTCTTTCTTTTCCAATTCTAGGAAAAAAGAGATCAGCATAAAACGCACTAGGGATGAATATGGATCACCATTCATTTCCTCGAAGGAATGGTGGAGATGAACTGTATTCCATAAACCATAGATGCATATCTTGTGCTTCACCTGGGCAAAAACCTAGTTGGCTGGAAAGACAAATGAATATGAGGCTCTCCACTAAGCATTTGCTTGAAAGAGAAAAGAACATGATGTGCTCTCTCTCTCTCTATGTTCTAAGGCTCTCCCTCCACGTATTTGCTCGAAAGAGAGGTGCTCCATCTGTCTCGTCGAAGGCTCTCGATATATGCATTTGCTACAAAGAATGGGGTGGCAATGTACCCGGGCCTGACCCGGAACCTGATGTCCAGACCCACCCGGGTCCAAGGATGGGTCTAAGAATTGGATCCGGCAGGTCGGTCCAGGTCCAAATATTGGACCTGAACACTATTAGGATCCATATCCGGGTCGTTGTGAACCCAACCCGAATAGTGTTATTATATAAATAATATTTTAATAATAAATAATTTATATTTAAATAAATATAGCTAATATTTAGTTATAATATTTAAATAAAGAAAAAGTTTATATAAGGATGCACCTAAAAAACCTATCGGAAAAGGTAGTCTTAATGTTGAAAAACCTTTTAATTGATCATCTCGACATCGAGATGTATGACCATGAAAAATAAAAAGATTTTAAGTCGCATAAATAGTGCATTTTACAACATATTCTCTACACCGTCCATTTTCAAGATATTCATATGTTTATAAATCTACTTGATTTTAACCATTTTTTAAATTTAAAATTTTATAATTAGATATAAAAATAGATTTTGTGATAATCCACATAACATTTTACATCAAAATTACATAACATGATAAAATTTGAAGGTGTACCTCACCTCTACGCTACGGATGCATCCGTATACCAACTGCACCCAAATAGTTTCTATAAATCCATGGACTCACATGGAGATTATTTATCTGTAAAAATAAATAATTTAAAAAACTAGAAATGATATTTTTGGAGAAATTTTTTGAACCATTGATTTCACTTTTTCGTCAAAGGACTATTATTTACAAAACCCGGTTATGGTGGACGGTGTAGTTCTCCAAGCCCGCATGGTAACTGGTGTTGGCTTGGACACACCAAATTCTTTTATATATATATATATGGAAAAGTCTTCCCAATGCCTATAGGCAAAAAATGAATAGTGATTTCGCCTACCCTCATCACCGTCCAAATTTCATCGTGCAATCACGATTGTTCGGTAGTATTTTATTTTTTATTTTTTTTTATAAAAATCAGAATGACTTGAAATTTGGAGGGTATGCATATCTTACTTAAGCACATCTAATAAAAGTATATAAAAAATTATCTGTGAAATTGTTTTGACCAAAATACCCCCAAAACTTTTTAAGGGTATTTTGGTCAATTGTTTTCATGTAAACAATTTTTGTGTATATTTTTTTGAAGATTCCCCTATTTTTTATTAATACACGCTTAAAATTTCAATTCATCCCGATTCGTAGAAAAAACAATGAAAAAATGAAACACTACCAGACAATCGTGACAGCGTGATGAATTTTAGACGGTGATGAGAGTAGACGAAATCACTGTTCATTTTCGCCTATAGGCGTTGCGTAGTATTTACCTATATATATATATATATAGTAATGATACCTTTCCACCCCCATTAGAGTAGAACCCCAAATGATTACCATTAAATTTTGATACAGATCTCTTAAAAAGTTATCAATAAACCCATTCACTCAAGTCCCACACCCATGTGATAACTTTTCTAGATATCTATGTCAAAATTTAATGGTGATCCTTTGGGGTCCTACTCACATGGATAGGGAAGGGTCTCATAGTGTCATTACTTATATATATATATATATATATATATATATTAAGGCTATCCCATAGATTTCAAATATTAAAACCACATTTCTCAAAGCTATTTGAAGGTAGGCTCTAATTTTGATTGTTCATAACCTAAGCTTATACAACTCCATAATATATATATATATATATATATATATATATGGAGTTTGTCTAGAGTTAATAAGCTCTGAAAATACAAAAGTTAATGTTATAAGGGGTTGTGATTGATGTATTTATTAAAAAGATCATTACTTTTTGTTTAAAAAATTATTTTAATTGGTAACTTAACCATTGAACAAAGAAAAATTTGAAATTTTTTCCAAAATACAATAATATTTTGAAAGTTAGTGTCCTTAAACTTTATTTATAAATTGTCATTGTCTTCTAGTAAAAATTTCAATTTTATCCCTTATAGAAATGACAAAAGTTCTCCTTGTCTTGTAGTAATATTAACAAAACTACATTTATTTAATGATGAAAATATCACAAAAAGTATTTTTTTTAAAAAAATATACCACAAAGTTAATAAATCTACCATTCACAACTCCTTTTATCATTAACC